AAGAGCCCAGATGGAGTCTGTCGGGTCAGAGGCTGAGAAACCACCAACAGTCTGAACATCTCGGCGTCTTACTGGACAGCAGCCTGTCGGCCGCACCGCATGTCCGACACCCCACGGCAAGAGCGCGGGCTAGCCTGTACAGCCTTGCGCCTGCCGGCATGCTGGCATCTGGGCTCTGTCCAGCAGATAAATGTTTTCTCTGGAAGACTGTGGTTCAGCCAGCACTGACGTACGGCTGTTCGTCCGCTCCACTCAACTCAGCTGACATCGAAGAGCTGCACGCCACTCAGACAGCGACCCTCAAGACGGCGCTGGGGCTGCCTCGCCGCGCCCACCACTCAGCGCTGCTCGCTGCTGCCGGTATCGCCCCAGCACATGAGCTGATTCGGTCGGCATGCTTCCGGGCTGCAAGTGGTGCTCTGCGGTCCGAACACCGTCTCCAGCAGGCATTCCTCTCGGGCCTGACGAAGTTGGCCATGTGCCCCGACTTGCTTGGCGACTCTCTTCTTCTCCAACTGTCCCGCATGTGCGGAAACGACTTCTCTGCCGTGCTCGAGGCAGCTGCCGGACGGTCGTGCAGTCACAGGGTGACGCCATCGCGCGCCCCAGACGGACTGGCAGATAGCATCCGCTTCTTGATGAGGGACAACAGCCAAGCTTCGCGTCGCCTACTACGACTGCTGACATGCTACGTCCCACCGGGGGCCGTGGCCCCTGTGACCTAAGCTCCGTGCTGACACATGACGGCATTGTCATTTCTGATGATTGTTTGTTATCAGCTGTCGGGAATTTGCCAATGTTTGGTGCAAAATAAATATGAATGAATGAATTGCTAGTCTTATCAATCTCTGAAAGTTTCAAAAGTGATCGTTCAGTCGTTGTAGCTATAGCGGGCCTTTAAACTTTTTTGAGGTAAGGCCACTTGACGTGCCCTGGTGACCTGACCTTGAACGACCCTGATCTGAAATTTTCACAAGCTGTGTAGAAAAGATGTATGAACAGGTGTACCAAAAACAGCGGCGCTGCGCGACGCCGTTTTTGAGATATTCGCGAAATAAACCTAAGGGGGTGGAACCCCCATTCCAGCACGGCGCAGATTAATGGGAGACAATTGAAATGCTCTTCTTCTGAACGAAAACAACCTCAAACATCGGGATTCAGGTAAATATGACACATTTAATCGGTAAATGTCACTCGTGATGTGACCACTTTTATGTTACTGAGGTCATCTCAGGTCATGAAAGGTCTCCAGTAGATTTTGGACAATAACTTTTGATAGAGATATGCTAGACCAATGAAACACCCTATACATATAATTATTTTCCTTCTCGAAAATATGGATCGACTAATATGCAGTATGACCTTTCCCGGTTAGGTGATGACCTTTACCTTAGGTCAAATTCTCAAATGCCCTTTTAATGTCAAATTCTAGTTATTTGCCTCGTCTGTCTCGAAAAATGGAACACGATGCTGGATAAACTAATCTCGTGCAGGTCTGAGCCAAAAGGTATTAGAGATAAACGTCCTCCGCGAAAAGTATATTTTGAGGCTAAAACGTTTACCTTAGGTCAAATCTGAGATATAATCAATAAGAGAGAGCATAAAAAGAGCTATCGAATATGCGCTTTGCTGCGGCGCTGTAGCTCAATCTCTTTCTGAATCCTGACATGCGCCGCTTTGTCGAAAAATGTCAACATCGGCGAAATTTGATTTTCGGTTGTCGCTGGTGACCTGACCTTTGACCAGTTCGACCTAACCTTAAAAATGATCTAAGTAGGGCCGCCTGGCTGCTGCATCTTGAAAAGGGCCCTTGGTGTCGATGAGAAAGCCCCATTGTCCAATAATTGCCTAGCGTCAGTGGTTTCGGGGGGGGGGGGGCTATCAATCTTGAATGGGGCGGGGCGACCGAAGTCTCCATTCAGTTTCGCGTCAGTGACTACTGGCGGGCGTCAACGACCTCGGATAGGGCGAATGTGATCTTCAGAAGGGCACAGGGTGCTCTAGAGGGGTGCAATGCTTGGATGGGGTCACTGCTGCCTTCAGTAGGGCGTCGGACGCTCGGGGGGGGGGGGGGGCGCCATTGATCTCGGATGGTCCGACTGGGATTTTTAGAGGAGCATCAGTGGTTTCAGAGGGGCGCCATTGATCAAGAATGGGCCGACTGAAGTCCCGGTTCAGGTAGCCTCCTGTGGCTCTTGAGGGGCGCCAGCGACCTCGGATTGATAGGGTGACTGTGATCTTTAGAACGGCGTTGAGGAGCGCCATTGGGCATGGATGGGGCCACTGTTGCCTTCAGCAGGGCGCTGAAGGGAGGCCCTGGAGGGGCTTGAGCTTGGGTGGGCCGACTGTAGTCTCCAGGGGCGCTGTCTCGGATGGGGCGAATGTGATTTTCAGAGGGGTGCCGGGTAGTCTAGAAAGGCGCCATTGGTTTCAGAGGGTTGCCATCGATCTTAAGATGGGGCAGCTGTAACCTTCGTTTAGATGGGCGCGATCTTCAGAAGCGCGCCGGACGCTCTGGAGGGGCGTCATTGGGCTTGAATGGGGCGACTTAAGTCTCAAGCGGGACGACTTCAGTCTCAAGGGGGGGTGGGGCGCTAGTGGCTCTTGAGGGCGCTATTGATCTCGGATAGGGCGACTGTGATCTTGAGAAGAATGTGGGTGCTTTAGAGGGACGCCAGTGGTTTCAGGGCGCGCCATCGATCTTGGATGGGTCGATTGGGGCAGCTGTGAACTTCAGAGGGGCGCCGGGTGCTCTAGAGGGGCGCCATCAAGCTTTAATGGGGCGACTGTTCCGTTCAGGTGGGTGCCAGCGGCTCTTCAGGGGCGCCATCGACCCCGGGGGTTCGGAATATTCTGGTATCCGGAGGGGCGCCCTTCAACATTTGGGGGCTCAGGTCGTATTTGGGGGTGCCCTGGAGAACATTTAGGTGTCCAGGCACCCCCAAAGAGATATTTTGAGTTCGATCCCTGCCTGCACATCACTTTTTAATTCATGTTCTCTCTGTAAAACGGCATCAGCCTAGTCGGCGCTAATTGGGGCGCCATTTGGGCGGCTGGGCGGAAAGGGGGGGCATGGCCCCCATGCCCCCCTGTATACGCCACTGGCCTTGAGATGCACAGGTGTGGTGGCCCACAGAGGCACCGGTGTGGGGCCCCCAGAGCCACCGATATATGGCCCAAAGAGACACTAGTATGACCCTCAAAGGCGCCGCTGTGTGGCGCTCATAAACACTGGTGTGGAGCCATCACAGGCGGGTGGAGCCGTTAGAGGCCGGAAATGGCCCTTAGATGCCTACAAGGAGCCTTCAGAAGCCGGCGTGGCACCTTTATAGGGATAAGCGTGTCTATTTAGGAGCCCTTGAGCTGCTCTCATGAGCTCTGTGGGGCCCTATCGAGCCGAAATATGGCCACGGCCAGTTGCCGCCGCATGGCTCTTCGGACTATCATTCTCAGGGGCCTCATCTACCTAGTTTGAATAGAAGGGCCTCTCAGACCATCAGTCTCATGGGCCTCCTCTGGCTAGCATAAATAGAAGGGCCTGTTAGACCATCAATCCTAGGGGCCTCCTGACTCCTCTGGTTAGTATAAATAGAAGAGCCTCTCAGACCATTAATCTCAGGGGGCTCCTGTGGACAGTATAAATAAAAGGGCCTCTCAGACCACCAGGGGCCTCCCTAGAAAAGTGTAAATGTGGATAGAGGGCCCCCTCAGATTCATTAGGAGTGGACCTCTCTGACTATCAGTCTCAGGGGCCTCTTGTGGCCAGTATGAATATAAGAGCCTCTCAGACCATCGGTCTCAGGGGCCTCTTCTGACTAGTGTGGATAGAGGGCCCTCCCAGACCACCGGTTTCAGGGGCCTCCAGTGGCCAGTTATATGAGCAGAAGGGCCTCACAGCCATCAGCCTCGGGGGCCTCTTCTGACTGGTGTGAACATGAGGGCCTCTCATACCATCAGTCTCAGGGGCCTCCTCTGCCTAGTGTGAATATAAGGGCTTCCCAGGCCATCAGTCTCAGGGGACTCTTCTGACTGGTGCCGGATTGAGGGACCTCCCGGACCGAAAATTTTGGAGGTCTTCTGTAGCCAGTATGAATAGAAGGGCCTCTCAGTCCATCAGTCTCATGGGCCTCTTCTGCCTGGTGTGATTATAAGGGCCTCTCAGGTCATCAGTCTCAGGGGCCTCCTCTGACTACAGTGTAGATGGATAGGCCTCCCAGACCATCAGTTTCAGGGACCTCTTCTGACTATTGAGGATAGAGGGTCCTCCTCTGACTAGTGAGGGTAGGAGGCCTCGGCTAGACCGCCAGTGTCAGGGGCCTCCCCAGACCAGTATGGATATTGGGGCCTCCTCAGATCCACGAGGGCCTCTCAGGCCATCAGTCTCAGGGGCTTCGACTGACAAGTATGAATAGAGGGCCTCCTTGGATCCATCACGGCCCCTTGGAGTCCGTGCGTGGGGATTCGTGGAACTTATTTTTACCGAGTTTGTTTATTCTGGAAGGTGACGACGTCCTCTCAAATCGAGACGAGGGGCCTCGAGTAAAAAGTGGGTGGGCCAAAACACATGGTTCCCCCCCCCCACCTCGAAAAGTGGGTGGGCACTTGCCCGCCTGCCCCCCCCCCCCCCTGTTCCTACGCCTATCATAGACATATTTTCATAATTAACCTTGAGCTTGGGCAGTCACTCGTGTTCCCATAAACTGCTAAAAACGAATGTGCCCCATGCACGAAAGTGCCCCGCTCTCCCCTACCCCGTCCCACCAATGCACATGCAGGGTTCACATTCGCGCTCGCTCATTTATCGCCCCAAACGGTATCTTACTGGTTTTAGTTCCGAACAACATAGAAAATAAATGTTACATTTCAGGTAAGAAAAAGGCGAACAACTAAAAGTACATAAAAATTATATAGCGCAGAAATCGGCGGCAATCTGCATATCATGTTATATTGATAGCATGTTTCTGATGCCTAGGTCCTTTTAACCCATGCCCAATACCAACCTGGGCCCATTCGGCGAGCACGTGGCCCACCACGGAGCGCTGCAAGGCCGACACAGAGCCGAGATGAGCGCTGAGCAGGCTCACATAGGAGGTGAGCGGTGACATGTCCTCGTAGCTGGCACCTGGCGGCAGAGGCGCACCGGAGCCGCGTCACTCACTGCCCAACTGACACCCAGTTCACCACATAGCCACTGCCCCACTCAGTGGCGTATCCAGGTTCTTGAAAAGGGGAGGTCAAACCTGCTCAATGCACAGTGGGGATTTTTCCGATCTAGCGCGTCTCAATTCCAAAACCTTTTTTCGGGTTTTGTTTATTTTTTTTGTGTCAGAGGGGCTAAGAAATGTCTGAATTTCTCATAATATGGCATTGTTTTATCTGTATGCCCACAGCAAGACTAGGAAAAATGCGCACAAAGTTCACACTCATGCGTGATTACTCAATGGGCTCAGTAAGGCCCGAAAGTATAGCTCAATTTCATTGTCCTGTCCTGTTGGTTTTATTCTTGCGAGGTTTTAAAGTTGCATATCTTCTGAAAGGCACCTTTATTAGGAATGGAATGGCAAACAGAAAGTATGCAACAGCCTTACTAAGGTCACAAAAATGCCATTAACAAAAAACCCTTACAAACACCATATTGAAGGAATGGTATTCTAAATAAATGTAGGAAATTAACAATGTTTTCTACACTTTTCCACTCCGAAACATATCCTATCGAATTTGTCACTTTCTCCTGCACAAGACAACGCCTAGTTTGGCTGCCAGAACTTGCCTGAACACGAAATATTCACATTAGAGTATCTTAACCCTCGCATGTGTGGGGGGGGGGTCGGATGGACCCCCCCATGGTTTTTCGCGAATAACTCGCGTAAAAAGCGGCCGATCGCGACGAAACTTTCAGTACCCTCGCATTGATCAATTTTACACCTACCCTGAAAATTTCATGACCCTGACCCAAATGACCTTTGACCTGTGACCTCTTTTCCGAGACCATGTTTGGCCGGAATCGCGATTTCGCGTATGTCGGCTCGCACTAGCCGCGTGTTTGCAAGCTTTTCGTGGTTTCAAACGTTCAAACATGTGATTTGATGTTACTCCCGTGTGTGTCAAGGTCACCTGAAGGTCAGGTCAGGTCATTGACCTTTGGTGACCTCGGGTGACCTCGGGTCACTTTTTCGAGTTTTACATGTTTCTAGGCTAGTTTTTGGAGCTGAATTCGAATTTAGCAACCATTTGAACATTTACGAAGTAGTTTTGGTGACTTCGTAACATGTTACGAAGCTGTCAGAGGCGGTTGACACGTACTACGAATACCCGTCACGACGCCTACTGGTTGACCTGACCTGACCTGACCTGACCCGACCTGGTCTAAATGCTTCAAGACATCATCTGTGATCAAAACTAACACGATATTCGTGATCAGCACCCCGAAAACCCCTTAGCAGCCACACTTTACGACTTTCTAACAGGTCCCGATTTTCCCGACTTTGGGTCATTGACCTGACCTGGAAGGTCAACCAATGACCTAGGACCTTAAAATTGGGTATCATCGGCTTCCTCTCGTCACGGGCAACACGCTCGTTTTTTCCGCGAAGCTCTAGCTCGATCAGGGGCCAAACGGCAAGCGGGGGGTCCAACCGACCCCCCCCCCCCCTACACATTAGAAGCTGGCAAACGCCGCACACATGCGAGGGTTAACCCTCGCCCGGCGAGGGGGGGTTGATGCAACCCCCCTCCCTAAGGTTTTTCGCAAATAACGTAAAAACGGCGGCGCGTAGCGCCGTGAAATTTGGCACACCCTCTGGGGCAACATTTTCGCACCTTTCCTGAAAATTTGAAGTCCCAGTCTTTTCAGGTCAGGTCACCAGGTCACGAAAACCGGTACAAGGTCAGGGTAAAATTGGACTAGCTTAGCGGCAACTGAATTCCAGGGTTCACTAAACTAAAATTGGTAACAAAGTATATCATTCGATGCGCACGGACGTCCTAAGTTCACTGATGCTTTTATTTTTGTTCTATCTTTACTAGGTAAAAAGTTATAAGCGAAAAACTTTTGACATGTTTTAGCAAAAATTTTGCACCCATACCCCCCCCCCCCCAAAAAAAAAAACCCTAAATATTGACTTAGAGTCACTAAACTTTCACAGGGGCGAGATCTTCTATGGACCCACCTACCCTGTAAAGTTGGCGTTTCTAAGTGCCATAGGAGCCAATCGCGAGGGGGGTCGTATCACCCCCCCCCCCCTCGCCGTCCGTGTTATGGAAAAGGCCCTCGCCTGGCGAGGGTTAATACCCCACTCTAGGAGCGCTAGGGCAAACAGCACGATATAGGTATGTTCCGAACAAAGGCGAATAATTTTACTTGGTGATTTATATGATGCATATTTTCTGAGACACATTCATTAGGAATAGGATGACAAGCATATAAATTACACATACCGTAACCTTATTAACCCTCGCACTTGTGGGGAGGGGGAGGGGGAAGAACCATGAACCACCAAAGGAGACTCGTCTACTGCCCGGCCGACTTGTTGCCCAGGCCTGCAGGCCGCCACTGAGGCTGCCGTTGTATAGCGACGCCGGACATCCCGAATATGCCACGGGACGTCATTGACTTCCACGACTTGGTCGGATACCAAACGTGTTACGACTCCGCTTAATGACGTTTCAGAGCATCGGGTGCCACGACGTCTAATCCACACCGCATCTCCCACAGCATACGGTGCTGGTGGTGAATTCTGTGCGGCATCTTAAGATGTATCTGGCCGTATCTGCGCTGACTTCACATAGTCTCTAACTGTGTAGCGATACACAGCTTCAGCTGGACTCCTCACATGTCGCTGTTCCTCATCCCGCGATGACACGTTGTATAGGTGTACAGCTTCAGCAATGGAGCATTCCTTGCGTGCAGCGATCACCTTGACCGTCCGGTGGGAACGCTCCACAATTCCGTTTCCACTGGGCTCATAGACCGCCCTGAACCTCAGTTTCACATTCCACCGCGCAGCGAATAACGCGAACTCTCGGCTACGAAAAGCAGTACCATTATCGATCAGCAGCTCCAGGGGCGCCCCCCCCCCTTTCAAAGAACACCTCCTCCAGGTGCTCAATCACAGCGTTTGAGTCCAGCTGGCGCAGCTGCTTCCATATACTGAAGCGTGAAGGACCGCAATCCGTGATTGTCAAGTAGTGCCTTTTCCGATGATGTGTCACATCCAGAGCCAGTCGATCCCACGTGTTCGACACTGCCAGTGAACCGTGCGCCACTTCACAGGAGCCGGGTCGATGGAGTTACAGACGTCGCACTGCCTCACGACGGATTGCACCTGAGCTCGAGTCACGCTCCTTGAAAGTTTTCTACGAGCAGAGTGCAGCGTTTTACGAACCCCTGGGTGGCCGGCCTGCTCGTGCACACATTCAATGGTTGACTGCAGCTGCTCAACTTCTGTTCCGTCCCGAGCAGCAGCACCAGTCAAAACTCCGCACAATCGGGTGCCGCCTGCTGAACCATCACAGCTCACCGCATCGTCTACGGCAGTTTCGTCACGTACACAGTCCTTTGGAACGCGGGTGAGGTCGTCCGCGCGGTTCTCTGCTGACGGAACAAGCCGGACGGACAAAGACAGCTGAAACTCCGAAACAAGTTGCATCAAATCCACCCGCCGGCGGATGAGCATCTCACCATGAGCTTTGGTGCGCAGACGGGCTCGTCCGCTGAGTGCGTCGCTCATCCATTTGTGCACAGTTGCAGAATCAGTTTGAAGGGCAATGCTCTTCATTCCCCAGACAATTGCCAGATTCACACCACGGAGAGCAGCCTCCAGCTCAGCCATGTTGATGTGGGTGGATGTGTCTGCTCTAAGCTAGCAAGCATCTTCTACCACCGCGCCTTCTGGTGATTCCACCACAACTGTCGCGGTGGAACTGGCGTCCACCCAGACCGTTGTCTCGTTTCCGGTCACACGCCACGGTCCTCTGGCCGGATCCTCTCTTGTCACCCGGCCCATCACAGACCTCACTTGCTCTCTGAGAGTAGAGTCTTCTGTGACATCATCCTAGCCACGTGTGAGTGCATTTACTCGTCGTTTCAGCCATGCCACAGCTGGCCGTAACCATCCGCACACTGGAAGGTGTGCAACCAGCTTATCACGCCATGCGAAGACCGACCGCCTAGTCAGCTGATCAGGAGGTGGTTCCACTGGGTTGTCACGTCGCCATCGCAATTCCCCGTCGGCCGACACAGCCACCCGTAAACCGAGCAGACGAGCCCCATCATCATCATCTGTATGCCCCATAAGGGCATACATGTATGCGAGCTGTATGCCCCTATGGAAACTGTTAATTTGGCGTCGGAAATGATCTGAAACTATACCTCAAGCACATGAAATCGTGACTTCATACATTCTTGGCAAGGTCTAATGCTTCGCTTTTGCATTGTTTACCTTGCGTGGCGTCATTTATGACGTCACTAGGGTCATAGGAGTGATTCGTCAATAACTCCCGATCAAAATGAGCTAGCCAGTCGGGACAACCATCAATCGACTTTGCAAGACTTGCCGAATCGAATGTTATGCAACATGTCCTCCTTTCAACAGCTTCGTGACCTGTGTTGCCCTAACATGACATTGACCTGAGGTAAACATCCTAAATTGCTTCACCTAAACAAAAAAAAAGCATATAAATCGACGCGTCTCAGAATAGAAAACACGATTGTATCGAAATGACGATAATGCGACCATTTTTGCGAAGTTATTTACCAAAAACCGATCCAATGCCTTGGGGCCCTTGACCTTCCCTAAGAGCTGGTCACTGATATTTTAAAATGGGGTACCAGTCGCTGCGTCACGTAACGACGCAAGCGCTCGTTTTTTTCCGCGAGGCTCTAGCAGCTAGCTCAATTATAGGAGCTAAACATGGGGTGGGGAATCGGTCCCTTCTCACTCACTATTTGACCGGGATAGTGTTTGCAATTATTGTTAAAATCGCATTGATTTCAAATGACCCATTTTTTTATTTTTCCGCCCAAGTCTTTCAATTCAAGGTCATAACACCAAGTCACGACAAGTGACCTTACCTCAAGGAAAGTTCCTGTGCTCATCATATCTAAATACACCGACTAACCGA